TCGCCCAAACAGGGCTTTTGAGTTTATAATTGTGTTAAATGTTGTAGAAACTATACAAAAATCGTAATGAGCGGGGATAATTTAAACCTAGCCCCTATACAAAGTCCCCTTCAGAAAATTACTTGCCTCCATCTTTCAGAAAATCACTTTCGTTGGCAACAAATTGTTAAAACATTTCGGAATTAAGGTATAATGCTTAAATTTTCCTCATGTTAATTTCTTATATCCGTTTTAAAAATGTTCTGGATCTGTTATCGAAATTATTAGACTTGAAAAGTCATTGTATAGCAAATCGACAGTGGCTGCAGACACTTATATAGTAATATATCGTATTCCCGATAAGGACATGATTCGGCAATCAAAGAAAGTTTTTGTTTTCAAGAAAGCGGGTTAATAGTCCGAGTTATTGGGTTGGCATATCCTCTTTAGTCTTTAGTACCATATCTCTCACTTATTCTCAGTTAGTTATTGAACAATGGATCCAAATGAGTGGCTAGGAAGCTTTGCCTCTCGCGCCTTATAATCCAGACATTCCCCCGTCCGATTATTGTCTGTTTCGATCGATTCAGAACGCCCTCTTTGGGAGAGTTATCGCGAGAAAAAAATTTTACGTATTACTCCTGAAAATTGCTGTCAAACTTAACAAGAGTTCCAAAATCGCCAATAGCTGTTCAAGCAACTATTTCAAAACATTTTCGAGCTGCAATGTTCACCCAAAAGCGGGAAATTTGGATAGCATACAAGTTAAAGCAAAGAACCCTTGATGGATTTTTGCACGCTGAAATAGAAAATAATTTTGTACCGAATCATGACATGCAATGGAAAATGAACCGATTACAATAATCCAGAGTGAAAAAGATTATTGGATTTGAAGCCCTTTGAACCAACCGAAACGACACCAATGCCAAATATTCATGGAGAAAAAGCTCTATATTTGGTGGGATCAAAAGTAACTTATGTATTAATAGCCAGACCTTGTCAGGGAACCTTTACCGAATACTGGCGATTCGCTTGAAGTGAGCATTGTTCGAAAAACGCCCAGTTAGCTGACTAAATAGTATGATCCTATTAAATACTATTGATAAAGAAGTGGTTAGGATGATTTGCCCTCGCCGCTTAATAGTCCAGATCTTACCCCGTCCGACTACTATTTGCTTCCATCGTTACAGAACGGCTACTCTGAGATAAAGAATATACCAATCAAATACTTGGTAATGACTTGTACTTACTCAACTGTAGTAGTGTGGTGGGACGACAGCGGAACAACAAACACTAGAGCCAGGTTCAAATACATAGGCCACAAGTATCAAAACGGCATACAAAACTATTAACTTGTTAGCGAGCGCTCCTCTCGGGGCATGTTAGATTGAAGATCTTCCCTATCTTGGTGTTACAGCAATGCGAGGAGCTACCAAAGCCTCTACCAGGACTATAAATTGATAAACTCAAATGTATCCTCGGCCTTTCCTTGCGGTGGAAAAGAGTTGGTGTCAATCTGGTACAACGGAAACCGGTAGGTCAAAGTTTCGGAGTTTGTCTTGTCCTGATTATTGAAGTGGCCCCTTCAGGGTGTACGTGGTAGTGGTTTAAACATAAATTCGCGGGAAAATATTGTTGCACGGTAGAGCCTATAATGCGGTATAATGCTGTTGCTGAGACAACAGGTACCCCACAGAGAAGTGACTGAGAGACTAAGCGTTGGAAAATAGTTGGTGTCAAGTGTATATGATGCAGGATGGTGTATATAGATGCGGAGAGAGAGTGTGGCGGATGAATGAGAAGTTGGCTGGATTGAATGCTGATGGATGCAAGGAATCTTATACAAGTGATACCATTGAATTTTCCTTCCTTGACCGTATCTATTCAGGGTTTACTCTGTTCATTGCAGATTTCCCATAATGTGTTCTCTGTGAATAAGAAAAAGTCTTCGGCTTTTGATGGATTTGTGTTTCGTTCTAATGAATACGTATATAGGTGCTGTTGCCGACTCAAAAGAGGCCATCCCATTCGCATCTCGGAAGTTAAGCAGACGGGGCAGCAATGGTCAGAGATAAGATTGCTCGAGTACTGAAGAAAAGCGCCTGTACATGGCCACCGGCGTGTAAGAAGCACAAAGGGATGGTGCTGAGTCTAATCAGCACAAAATACCGCCATGAAATAAGGTCTTCAAGGAAGGTATTCACCTAAAGTACTTCGACATCTTGTAAGCGAGAGTCGTAGAGACTAATTTATCTCACTATGCGTTTTTCTTGGACCAGCACTCAGGTGATGACTCCTTTTCGTGCAGTGTATTATATTGGAACTAGGAAAATAAGTTGTGGGAGAGAAAATAGTGTTTGTGGATATATTTTCACATCGAAAGTGGTGAGGAATATCTCTGCGATAAGTCTGTTCCATAAACAGACGCTACGGCTGAACAATGAATTTTCCCTATAATGTGTGATTCATAGGAGAATTGACTACAAACGGGTGTGTCTTTCAAAAAAGACTTTAGTTGCGTAAAAATTTACGGATTTTGGGAACAAGTTCCATAATATCAGATGAACTCATTGTAATATCGATAGAATTGTAGATCGATCGAAATACACCCCATGTTGCGATGATGCTCTAGTAAATCAATAGAGTTGTACACCCGATTTTTATCAATGAATACCTTCGCTCTCTCCTGTAAGCAGTCGTGTACCTCCAAAATCGATTTTGAAGCTCCGGCCCATATATAACTGAACTTGTTTCGGACATAAGAAAATCCATTTTTTATATTTTTCTTAATTGAGAGAAATGAGAAGAAAAACTAGTTTTGCTTCAAATACAAACAATAATTCTAATTGATTTTCTCACATCAAACCCCGTTTGATTATTAATAATAAGAAAAAAAGTACCCTTAATAAAAAGTACCAAAGTCTCTAAACATTTCATCCCTGTTTTTATGGACGTGTTTACATTTTAAGAGAAGTTAAACAAAGAGTGTTTCTTTTTTCAATTATAAACAGAGAGTATAGCAAAACAAAACAAAAGTAAAAAGAGATTTGAGCCAAAGAGCAATTTTGCAGTTAAAACAAACAAAAAAAATACCAGCATAAACTACAACAACAATTGAAAACGCAGCCAGATATCAGGCAAACGTTAAAGATACAACAACACATACTGCGAAAAAATCAAAATATAAAACTGGCTAAAAGACTGACAGATAAACTAATTGCTAAAACTTTACTCTATAATACATTACGAGTAAGTTTTAGGAGATTTTAGGTTGGTTTGGGAGCGGACAGTGGATTTGTTAGATTTCAAAAAAACCAAAAAAAAAACACTCTTAGATGTAAAAGAGTATAAATAATAATAATAATAATAACAACATAAAACCAAATGCAGGGGCCTCTAACACGAAAACCCACTAACGGACTCTGACTCTAAACAACAAACGATTACGACAACGACGACAACAACTACTACGTATGCACGTATCTACAACGCTCCTCTAGTAGTAACAATTTGTTGTATGAGTGTGAACTGAGTGAGTGATTGTGTATCTTGTTCTACAGCCAAACACAAAGCTAGTGACTCGTTTATATGAATTTCAAAGAATCATTCTTGAATGCGCGCGCGAACCGTAGACATCTCAGCATTTTTGTTGTGAAAAATTGTTTAAAAAAAATATATTTAAATTAAAATTTGAAATAAACAAAACAGAAAAAACACAAATAAGACCCGGCTGCAGACGAAAAGTTGTTAAAGAAAAAATTTATTTAAATTGAAAAAAATTTGAAAACAAAAATCTTTAAGTTATTGAGGCATAAAATTTTGAAGTGTTTTAAAGAGTGTTTAATTTATTTAAATTTCTGTTTATAAAAAAAAACCTAAAATCTTGTCAACACCTTTAAAAAAAGACATATTTGAAGTTATGACGTTTTTAAAGTGAATAAATTCGTAAAAAAAATAGTGTTAAAAAAAATTTCTTTGTTATGGTTTTAAAACAAAGCAAAATAAGCACAAATACAAATACAATAACAAAATTCTTATAAAAAAAATCTATAAACAATTTGCAATTTTACTTGCGATAGTAAACTTGAGAAATTTAGTTGAAATTGGACTTCAACTCAGAACGGAAGTGAAAAATTTTAAACAGCAAAAATTTAAAAAATAAAAACAAAAATTATAAAAAAAATTATAAACAATTGAAAAAGTAGTTTAAAAGTTATTTAAATACAAAAAAAGAAAAAAATATAAAAAAAAATCCCCAAAATTTTGAAAATTCTTTTTTAAAAATGTTTTCTTTGGGCCGTGACTACCGGCCGGTGTTTTGTACTCAATTAACGCACATTCAACAAATATAAATTTCTTTTTTTTTCTTCTTCTTTATTATTATTATTACTTTTATGTGAGTGTATAAAAAGTGTGTGTGTTTGTGAGTAAGAAAACAAAATATTTTAAAGATTCAAATTGTTTAAAAAAATTTTTTTTGTGTGCGTGGTATTTTTAAAAACCTGCAGCAGTTAATAAAAAATCTCTGGCTACCTAAGGCAATAGGGCCGGGTTCAGTTTTTATTCAAAAAAAATTAAAACAAAAGAAATCAAATTTAAAATAAAATAAAAGAAAAGAAAATCATTTAAAGAAAATACAAAACAAAGAAAAAAAAGAAAAATCTTTAACGTTTAAAATTTTATTTAAAAAAAATCAAAAAAAAAAAAAAATCAGTGTCATTAAACTGTGCCAACACTTTATGGCCTATAAAATTTAAAAATATACCGAAAACCACAAAAAAAATTTTAAGAAATTCTTAAAAAAATATAAATTATTTAAATAACACAATAAATTAACTAATAAACGCTAAAAAGCAAAAGAAATTTGTTAATAATATACAAAAAAAAATTATTTGTGCCTACAAATATTTAAAAAAGAAATTATTGAAAAATATAAATTTATAATAAAAAAATACCTAAAGAAAATTAAATAATTTTGAAAGAAAATTTAAGTGAGAGTGTTTTAAATTACAAAAAATATAAAATTTATTTAAAAACTTAAAACAAATATCTAAAGAAAATATTTGAAAAGTGTTTTCTATTTATTTTCAAAGAAAAAAACATAATTGCAGTTAATTAACAAAAATTAATATTAAAAAAAGGGGTAATGAATTCAACCCTTTTTTTGTTCAGCAAAACAACAGGTGATTAACAATTAATAAAATTAATAAAAAAAACTAAAAGAAAAATGTTTTCTTAACAAAGTAAAAAACAAAAAATTATATTTTCAAAAACATTAACTAAAAAATTATATAAAAAAGAATTAAAGAAATGAATGCTATCGAGTGACCTATATAAAATTATTAAAACCAAACTGTTCAAAAAGTTTGACCTAATTGACTTACATATAACAACATATATCTGCTAAATAAATAAGTTAAATTCTTCAAGAAAACCTTGTTTCCCGAAGTTTTTAAACTTTTCGGCATAAAATCGTGATTACATTCCTAAAGCATTCTCAGTAACTCTCGAGTATTCGCGAAAAATTATTAATTTAACAAAATGTTTAATGTTTTTGGAAATACGTGTAAAAATATCTATTAAAAACTTAAAAAGAAAAATATTTGATAAAAAGATAAGTTTCGCTTTTTAAAAGAATTTAAAAATTTTTTTATTAATATTTTTTTATTCGACTAGAAAAATTCAACAAATCCTGTTAATAAATGATTAAAACACATTTGTATCATATTTTTTGGATATATGTATCTCGAATGAATGGTCTACATATTAGATTATCCTATGAGCAACTATTTTGCTAGGCACACCTCTCACATGATGCCTATTACTGTACTTAATAGGGTAAAAGTTAAAAAGAACATTTTTCAAAGAGTGATTAGTTCAATACTAGCGATTGCTAATACTGATCTCTATTTAATTTGTCAAAAAAATAAGTTTCTTAAAATATTATCGAGAATTCCCTAATTTTCTAAGTAATTACAGAAAAATAATAAACAAAATTTGTTAGATTACACAAACCGACAAATTTTTAAACCAGAGCCTATTCTAAAGAATTAAAACCCAATGAATTCGAATCTAGCGCAATTATTGTTATATCAAGGTGAAGATATCTCAAAGAGGAAAGAAGATATGTGAGTTATTAAGACTTTAAATTAAAGCTGAAAGAATGAACTTTCATGGCATACAACATTTTATAAATAAAGTTAACATCGAGCAGTTATAACGTCTCAAAAAGGGCCAAAATATCGTTTTCTGAAATTTCATTACACGATATTTCAGATCCCAGATTTGAAATCTGAGGTCAGATTCAATGCTGCTTAATCCTTTAGGAACGTCTAACTTGATCTCAGGGTTTCGACATTTTTCAAATTTTTTCGCTCTGTCCATTTGGTCCACAAAACGACCTTTGCAAGGGATCTTTTTTAAAATAGGTGTCAATATGTTAGACATTTACTGAAGTAAAAACACGTGATTTAGTTAGTTAGTTAGTTAGTTAGTTAGTAGTTAGTTAGTTAGTAGTTAGTTAGTTAGTTAGTTAGTTAGTTAGTTAGTTAGTTAGTAGTTAGTTAGTTAGTTAGTTAGTTAGTTAGTTAGTTAGTAGTAGTTAGTTAGTTAGTTAGTTAGTTAGTTAGTTAGTTAGTTAGTTAGTTAGTTAGTAGTTAGTTAGTTAGTTAGTTAGTTAGTTAGTTAGTTAGTTAGTTAGTTAGTTAGTTAGTTAGTTAGTTAGTTAGTTAGTTAGTAGTTAGTTAGTTAGTTAGTTAGTTAGTTAGTTAGTTAGTTAGTTAGTTAGTTAGTTAGTTAGTTAGTTAGTTAGTTAGTTAGTTAGTAGTTAGTTAGTTAGTAGTTAGTTAGTTAGTTAGTTAGTTAGTTAGTTAGTTAGTAGTTAGTAGTTAGTTAGTTAGTTAGTCAAATCCATAGAAATATTCCTAGGTTTCTATCGGGCCTGTTGTTATTTAAAGCTTGTGTTTGCTAATTAAGCTTTTCACAAATCTTTATGTATTGAAGTGGAAAGGTCTTCAAGATTAAAGTATCAAAATTCTTAGATTTTTGCTGAAATATCTATATTTTTCTTGTATTTAGCTATTCAAAATCGTCACAAATAAAAATGTTGAAGCTAAAAGTTTAAAAAGCTTTTGCTTAGCTTCTTTCAAACATTTTTAGCTGATTTATGTCTTTTAAGTAATCGGGAAATAACTATATAATTTTTATTAGTAAAAGTATAACGTTTGTCCGATAAACTTCGGATCGTATAAGTATAATTGTACAAAACCGCTAAACTGAAAGCTTTTAAGCTTTAGGGGTACTTAAATCATTACATGTATAAAAATATAGGGCAAAATTTGGGCCCATAACGCGTACTAGAGTCAGCTAGTAGTAAACAATAAAACCTTATACTCCTCTTGCGAAACCAGTTCCATATTTTTACACTTAAAGTTTTATACAGATCTTCCCTAACTATTAAATTTTTTAAATAAAAGGAATTCCCTTAACCTTTAACTAATTTTCTCAAAATTTCCAATTTCTTTACTAGGAACCCATTGAATTGAAAAAACGTTTAGAAGAAGTGCGTCTGCTAGAATCGCGACGCTCAGCACGTTTAGCCGATCAGGATCGAGATACAGATTTTGCACGTTTAGCCGACATGGGTGGAGACAGGCGTAAACCATCACACAGTATTGAGGTGCCATTATCGACAACGCCACAACAAAAGTAAGTTTTCGAAAACTCTAGAAATCGCAATAATACATTTTTTACATAATTTAATGCGAATATTATGCAAATTTTTTAAATAAACAATAATAAAAAATGCGAATATAATAGTTAAATAAAAAATAATTCCTATTAAAACAATAATAGAAACTAAATAAATAAATGTAATTTATAAAAAAAAAATAAAATAATATTTAAACAAAAATTACGTCGCAAAATATGTAGTTATCTTATCTATGGTTAACTAATACTGTTAAATTTAAATACCCAGACCGGGAATCATGATTATATTTACATTTATACTATTTATATGATTATACATTAACGCTGAAGTATAATGAAAGTGACATGTAAACGTTAGTTATACACAGACTTAGCATAAATATTGAAATAGTTTTTTTTTTTCTAATACATAGATAGTCATATCTAATTTTATTATTATTTTTATGTACTTAGCACTCTATAGAATTTATAATTATAATAGCGAGAAAATAACAACAATTATTGCAGTCTAGTTACATATTTGCCAACTCGATAACGCAGCTAAAATGATAAATAGACGGGAATTGTTAAATGTTTTTTGAAAAATAAAAATCAGTTTTTCTGGTTTTAACTGCAACAATGTTGAAAATGTTGTTCTACAAAAACAACTTTGTTTACTTTTACATTGACATCTTAATAGGCGATACTTTATCCAAGTGTCACCTTGATTTATACGACTGACATTAAGCTTTGGTTTTCTAAGTTTTACTGGACCGGAGCTAAAGTTATATATTGAAAGTTGGTGATGGTGAAGAGCAGGGTGTGTGTTTGCGGGAAGTTTTAAACAGTTTGCAGGTCTTTCAGAAACTTTGTCATCAACTAAATTATCGGAAATTTTCTATAATTTCTGAAATTTATATAAAAGTTCGTTTCTTTAAGTTCTCTCACGAAAGCTTTAAATTTTGAAAATCAAAGTCCGTATGTATTTCTTTCATATTTAGAACAATTCTTTGGAAATCTTCTAAATCATTTACTTTCAAGAAATAGCTTAAGAATATTATTGAATATTTAATGCTTATTTGTTAAATTAAGCTTTTCAAATAAGCTTTAGGTAAAGCATTTTAACCATCACTAGAAGTTGAGAGAAAGATGAGAAAAATTCTTTATGATTTTGATTTCATAAAACTTTGACTTCATTAAAGCTTAATATTGGACTTAAAACTCAGAAATCTTTAAATAATTTCTTAATAGAGTAGCTCGAGATATTGATAGTACAAGTCCTACAAAACTTTTAGCAAAATATTTAAAGTTTACTAAGCTTAACTTATTAATTTAACTAAGTTTTAGATATTAAAGCTTATAGCTAAATTTTTTGGTAAATATAAACTAGTTCATAAACTTATCTATAGACATGTCGACATATAGCAGTCAATAGACCGATCTTCTAGTTAATTAATCTTTAAAAAGAGCTTTTACTTACATTAAGCACCCCATAAGACCTTCTAGATAAACTTGTGGTAAGTTTATTTAGTTCTTCCAAGGTCAACACTTATGAAAGAATATTTATAGCTTATTTAGTTAAATTAAGCTTTTAAAAAGCTTTAAGTATTGCATTTTAACAATCCTTAAACGGTTGCTGAGCTTTCAGAAAACAAGTTTTCAAAATTTTATCATAATTTCAAAATTCCAATCAATATTTTGTAAGTTCGACAAAAATTATCAGACTTTTTGAAAAATACTTAAGGCTTATTTTGTTAATTAAGCTTTCACAAAAAGCTTCAGCTATTACAATTTGAAAGACATTAAGTTTCTTGAAACTTAGTTCTTTTTGAAAAGCTTCAATATATGTATTTGTTGTTTTCAAAAGATTTCAAAATGTTAGAAGCGAAAGTCCTTAGGAACGTTTAAACTTTTAGCAAAAAAGTTTAATATATTTTGACATTTTCTTTTCTAAACAAAACTTTACACACTTATCGTCGAATATTTTACTCATTAAGTTTTCCACAAAAGCTCTTTTTATTTAATTTTAAAAGCTTTTTATGTTAAGAGTAAGGTTCATCTTGTAGATAACATCTTAAGTTCTTCAAAAGCTTTTAAAATATTCAGTTATTTTCTCCCAGACAAAAACACAATAATCATAGAATTCAGCTTTTTTCGTTAATTAATCTCCCTTCAAAGGCTTTTAGTGTTAAAGTTCATCATTATTAGAATTACATATTTATTGCCGAAGTAGCTTAAAAGTTAAAGATCATAAAGTTAATCTTGTTGACAACATCTTAAGTTCTTCAAAAGCTTTCAAAATATTCATTGCAGAAGTCAGCAGAAGTTTAACGCACTAATTTTGATCATTTTTATCCAAACCGAAACACTATAATCATAAATTAAAGCTTTTATTTTCATTAATTAAGCTTTCTTTAAAAGCTCTCAGTATTAAAGTTTCAAGATCATCATTATTAGCCTTGTATATTGGCGAAGAAGTTCAATATTTTTCTTCTAGTTAAGTATATTTAACTCTCCGAAAATTTTCTAAATATAAAGATCGAAAGCTCTTAAAGACTTTCAAGCCATAAGCAGAAACTGTATTGAAAGTTAAAGTTCATAAAGTTCAGTTCATAGTTAGTTTGTTAAGCTCTTCAAAAGCTTTAAAATCAATAAAATTGAAAAGTCGTTAAAGTGGTTTAAAGAATGAACAAAATTAGCTTAATCTGTAAACTATGAAACTTTTTGAATATTTTGTAATTAGGTTTAAAAGCTTTTGATTAATTTCTCTATCTATGTTTTCTTTTCCCACAAAAAGAGTCTTACAAAATCATAGTTTAAACCTCCATTAAGTTATAGAAACCATATTCTTATAAAGAAAAGCTATTTATGTTTTTTAAAATTTCTATTTCTTTTGCCTACAATCCACTCTTCTGTTGGTATAGCCTTACCATGAACCATTAACTTTTCTAATCGACCAAAACGATCATTAAAAACTTCTTCATCTTCTTATACACAATTAGATGCTCAATAATTTTATTGTTTTAATAATGGTCTATTAAAATAAAATATAAATTTTATAAAAAAAGAAAAATATAATAACATTTTGTCATACGAAATGCAATTTCAACCATAAAATAAACAACAACTACATAGAAATTAATAAATAATAAATAAATACAAATAAAAAAAACTTTATGCAATTGATAGTATAAAATAACAATAATAAAAAATAAATACGAACAAAAAAAATTATTAAATTATTTCATAGACGTCGCGACGCTACTTAATGCGCCATAGTTAAATGAAAGCAAAATAGTTTATAATATTGAATGATAAGCAAATTTTTTTGTAATTTTTATATTCATTTAAAGCTTAACATTAAATTCAAAGAAATTCAAATGAAAAACAAAAAAAAAAAAAAAAAATCATTACAATACAAAGCGGAAAAAATGGACACGAACAAGCGTTTTTATGATTAACTTACAGCAAAGAATCGACAACACAAATGCCGGCCACGTTCTTAATTGATAATCAAATCAAGCGCAAAAAACTTAGCTTTTAAATAAAAAAGAAATCAAAATATATTTTTATTAAAAAAAAAAAATAAATTAAAAAGTCAATTATTACATGGAGTACGCAGTCCAACATTTGTATTTATGACAACTTGTCAAACCGGCAGCTTGAAAGTGCTTTTAAACCCCAAAAAAAAAAAACGGGTGTGGCTGTTTATTTTATTACATTTTCTCTATGACATCAAATTTCATTTTATTAAAAAACTGGAGGGGGGTTTTCTTAGTTTTGAGGGAGTCAAGTTTGACAGCTAAATACTTCTCTTTGTGTCGAAATGCTTACTCACTCTTTTAATTGATCGTAAATAACAAATTTGTCTATTAATTTACACTCTTTTTCATTGGAGAGTTTTTTTTTTTTGTTTTTCTAACTTGAAATCAATGGGAAATTAATGAAAAAAGAATAAGTCAATTTAGAGAGTTTTATGACTTTAATGTAAATTTAATGACCCTCATAAATTAAAATGGCTTTAAATTGTGTTCGTAGAGCAACGATTTTTTCTCTCTCCTAAGTTGTTTAACAGTTTAAGTATTAATTGTTGTTTACTCGGCTTCCAAACAAGGGAGTTCTATGGACTAGCCTGTTGTTTTATCTAGTCATTAGTCTATGGACTAGTCTGTGGACTAGTCTATTTACTAGTATATTGACTAGTCTGTGGACTAGTCTATTGACTAGTCTATGGAATAGGCTGTCGACCTGTTTGTAGACTAGTCTTTTCACTGTCTGTTGACTAATCTATTAACTAGTTTCTGGACAACAGTAATGGCTAGTCTATTGACTAGTCTGTGGACTAGTCTGTTGATTAGTCCGTGGACTAGTCTATTGACTAGGCTATCGACCAGTTTGTGGTCTAGTCTGTTGATTATTCTGTGCACTAGTCTATTGACTGTGAACTAGTCTGTTGACTGGTATATAGACTAGTCTAGTTTCTGGACTAGACTATTAGCTAGTGTATTGACTTGATTAGTCTGTGGACTAGTCTATGGACTGGTCTATTGACTGGGCTATCAACCAGTTTGTGGTCTAGTCTGTTGACTAGGCTGTGGACCAGTCTATTGACTAGTCTGTAAACTAGTCTATTGACTAGGCTATCGACCAGTTTGTAGTCTAGTCTATTGACTAGTCTATCGACTAGTATCTGGACTAATCTATTGACCAGCCTGTGGACTAGTCTATCGACTAGTTTTTGGACTAGACTATTGACTAGTCTATTGAATAGTCTGTGGACAAGTCTGTAGACTAGTTTCTGAACTAGTCTATCGACCAGTTTGTGGACTAGTCTGTTGATTATTCTGTGCACTAGTCTATTGACTGTGAACTAGTATGTGGACTAGTCTATAGTCTAGTCTATTGACTTTTCGGTGGACTAGTCTATTGACTAGTCTGTGGACTAGTCTATTGACTAGGCTATCGACCAGTTTGTGGTCTAGTCTGTGGACTAGTCTATTGACTAGTCTGTTAACTAG